GCCCCCGCCAATGGTTCACTCTGTTTTTTGTTAGTATCAATGTGCTCATTGTGTCCGTCGCGAACTAAACTGGACAGAAAACAGTAACTAGCGCTCCAATTGCTTTTAATGATACTAGGCTTGTACAGTATATGCCGAAGTTTTCCCTCCCCTGCTCCCACGAGGTCCGCTGTTAAGTCAAAAAGACCGGAGGCAATATTGGGCGCAGTGGTTGCCAAAACTAAGCAGCCCATCTACGCATGTCAGGTACTGTGGACCAGGATTTCACAGATAAAAGGCAGCAGTGGCTGCTCTGATTCCCTTGGAGTGGTTAGTGCCATAGAGGTCACAGTAAGAAGGAGACATTGCAGCCAGAATGTCAGTCCTAAGCCGAGGAACGAGTGAGACCTCACCCCGGGGCGTTTATAGCTTAGCGGTTAGAGCGTTGGCTTCCGGTAAAGGCCTTCTCTGATACGCGGGTTCAAATCCCGCCGAACGGCTCGAGTTTTTTCACAATTGGGTCAACTCAAATTAAGAAAATCTGCCAAACCCTTTTTTCACAATTGGGTCAACTCAAATTAAGCAAATCTGCCAAACCTCCTAACAATTGAGTTTGAGTCATGGTTTACAACAATGAACGCACTCTTAAGTTAACAGAAGATACTAACCATCGTGACTGTTCCCAGTTAATGGTGAGACCTGAGTCTGATGGGACTCATGTGCCTCCCCCAAACTGCCCTGCGCGACAGGAGAGAGCGAGAGAAAATCAAACCCCCTCCACCAAAACCGGCTCCGAAAAATGGTAAATATACAGTAATAGGGCACGCAATTGGAAATGTTGTTAAAACCCTTAAACCCCTGGTTTCCATTTTTCTAATACCTGAGCTACTTGTAGCCTGGTACGTGCAATTGGAACCAGATGGTCTGTGGCACACTTAGGTAGGCTGTTTGACTTTGCCGGCTACTGTGTCAATCCGTGGTGTTTACCTTTTTTTACAATCAGGTTATGATGAGTGAGGGGGAAGTCGCCGGCGCCGCGTCTGCACTTTAGAGCATGCAGTAAGAGTCCCGGCTTGCGACGTCAGAACTGTCTTCAGTCTCTCAGTCTGTCTGTCCAAAAGCATGCTGTATACTCATCGATTTAGATTTTTTGAAAAACTGAACGGATGACCAGATTATAAAATACGACGCTTGTCGCGACGTGTACTGAAACAGTAACACTGACTTTCTTCAGGGTCTGGAAAACCAACGTTCTACACGTAACAGTTCGAAGTATTAACTGCGATCTACCAAATATGGGAGGGGAAGACTGCATGCTCCTATGCGGGAGAGGGGAGCATCGACGACTGATTTAACGTGTATCAACTTCTTTATTTTCTGACTCTAATCCACTGAAATGAAGGGCTTCCATCTGACCAGTTATTTTCGGCCCTCCTCCTGGATAACCGCAATGACCTTTTTTATGGAAACCACTCTATGAGAGTCCTGATATCCATCTTTGCGGTCCACTTAGTGTATGTGCGCGAACTGACACCTGCCTCACACTCTTAAAA